GATGATTTAATAGATTTATCGAATGCCCAAAACAAACAGATCTAATCAGCATTAAGTTTTAACATTTGTGGTTAAGTTTTGTTGTATAATAAAAATATTTAAGAGATGTTCATATATAAATTAATTTGTATAACAGATTGTTTTTTGTTTTCTTTTTTCTTTATTGTTACTAAACTACGACTTTGAAGGACAAGTGAATGATTCTTGGCAGTACTGAGATACGGACACAAATTATTAACAGGTGTGTTTAAGTCTTGTTTATTTATTGTTATCCTAACGAACTTGACTCTAGCTCGTTACTAGTAAAACTGCTTGACAATGGTCTTTAGAGGTAAAAGAAATAACAGTATCTCTTTCTCGATAAACCACAAAAAGCAAACAACTGGTGCCTCGGATTACTCGAGTTTGTTCATAAAAGAAACTGTAAGGAGCAACATCTCCCACGTACCATCGATTATAGCGGTATTAACTTAATACATCACAATTAACTATGAGTAACAGTTAATCTCATACCATCATGTCCTTGATAAGTCGCTTTTGCTATTGATACTATGAACAGAAATGTCCCTTATACCCTGTGATTAAATGTTACACCGAGTTGAAATACCACTTCATAAATTAAATTGCTATTGTTACGTAAAACTCCAACACACACTTTAACATTAGCGCCGGGAAACAATACTTTGTTACACAGTGGAGTTTTGTTGTATTTATCTATTTGTAATCCGGCGGTCTTGAATAAGATACCCAAGTAAGCAAGGTTTTATTTACATCTATAGCTTCTGCCACATATTTTAAATGTTCGTAATTCTAAAAAAAAGTATTTCCTTATAAGAAAAAAAAAAACGCTTCATTATTGTATTGCATACATTTTTGCTACTAAATAACGCTTAGTCGATATGAATGATGAAACATTTCAACATAATTCATATTTATAAGTTAGTTCTGAAATACGTCAATTAAACAACAAAACCTTACAGGCATCCTGTGTAAACAAATAAATTAAATGATCTTTTGTATCTCTTCGTATGAAATCAAACCTCCCAAGACGTTTACTAGTTGACTAACAAGCTTATAATAAATTTGTTAATTCAATATCTTCTATAGCCGAATGCAATAAAATAAATCAACATTGAGTGCAAAATATGGAACGCCGTGACTGTCTTAGGTTATCAATGGTTTGCTATCTTGTGAAACGATGATATTATTTTGTCATTTAAGCATATTATCATGTGCAATAAAATCATATCTTGTCTAAAGACAATGCTGACTTGTTAAAACAGCATGTTAACTTGTCAAATAATCATTATGACATGTGCAGACAACATGTTAACTTGTCAAAGTATCATGATGACTTGTGCAAACGACATGTTAACTTGTCAAAATATCATGATGACTTGTGCAAACGACATGTTAACTTGTCAAGATTTCATGATGACATGTGCAAACAGCATGTTAACTTGTCGAATTATCGTGATGACATGCTCATAATACCTTAACAAGTTAACATGTGTTTTGCACAAGTCATCACGATTCTTTGACAAATTAACATGTTGTCTGCACAAGTCATCATGATACATTGACAAGTTAACATGGCATTTGCACAAGTCATCATGATACATTGACAAGTTAACATGCTGTTCGCACATGTCATCATGAAATGTTGACAAGTTAACATGTCGCTTTCACAAGTCACCATGATACTTGGACAAGATAGCATGTTGTTTGCACATGTTATCACGATGATCTGACAGGTTAACATACTGTTTGCACATGTCATCATGAATTTTTGACAAGTTAGTATAGCATTTGCACAAGTCATAATTATACTTGGACAAGTTAACATGTCGTTTGCACAAGATATCATGATACTTGGACAAGTTAACATGCAGTATGCACAAGTCATAACGATAATTCGACAAGTTAACATGCTGTTTACACATGTCATCATGGAATTCTCACATGTTAGCATGGTATTTGCACAAGTCATCATGATACTTTGACAAGTTAACAGTACGTTTTGACATGTCAGTATGTCATTTGCACAAGTCATCACGATTCTTTGACAAGTTCACATGTTGTCTTCACAAGTCATCATGATTATTTGACATGTTAACATGCTGTTTGCACAAGTCATCATGATACTTTGACAAGTTAACATGCTGTTTGCACATGTCATCACGATAATTCGACAAGTTAACATGTCGTTTTCACAAGTCATCATTAAACTTTGACAAGTTAACATGGCATTTGCACAAGTCATCATGACACTTTGACAAGTTAACATGCTGTTTGCACATGTCATGACATTAATCCGACAAGTTAACATGTCGTTTGCACAAGTCATCATGATACTTTGACAAGTTAACAGTACGGTTTGACATGTCAGTATGATACAAGATAACATGTCATTTGCACAAGTCATCATGATACTTTGACAAGTTAACATGTCGTTTTCACAAGTCATCATTAAACTTTGACATGTTAACATGCTGTGTGCACAAGTCATCATGACACTTTGACAAGTTAACATGCCGTTTGCACATGTCATCACAATAATTCGGCAAGTTAACATGTCGTTTGCACAAGTCATCATTACATTTTGACAAGTTACCATGTCATTTGCACAAGTCATCATTATACTTTGACAAGTTAACATGTTGTTTGCACAAGTCATCACGATACTTTGACAAGTTAGCATGTTGTCTGCACATGTCATTACAATAATTTGACAAGTTAACATGCTGTTTGTACAAGTCAGCATGTTCTTTTGACAAGACGTGATGTAATTTGCACATGTTAACATGCTGAAACGACAAAATGATATTATCGTTTCACAAGATAGCAAAAACATTAATAACATAAGACAGTCACAGCGTTCCATAGCAAAACATATGATAAAATATTATATTGGTTTTCAAAGGTAATGAAATACTCAAATATGGAGTGGATTTTTTAGCTTCTGAAGAACTTTATGGTTTTTATTCATATTTACGCAAAACATACAACTTTTATATATTTTATTTCTAAGTGTTTATTTCATACAGTTAATATTTCCCATTGTTTGTTTGAATTATTTTGTATAAGTGTACTTGACGATAACTGAAAATACAAGAGTTGTAAATTTATGACGGATATTTCATATTTATTGCAGGTTTCAAGTACTGTGAATTTATAGAAAGTAAATATTATTACACAACGAAAATGTTGAATCCTGCCGGATAGTGCATGACATAACGCTAGTGTAAAGTATTTAAATATAAATATTTAATTAAAATTGCATAACATACATGCACCGAATACATTACTCTAGTCAGATGATAAATAGTAGATAGTCTACCCCATTTCTTGTTTTTCACCTGCACAATATCTTTAAACGTATCCTTTTTTTTTTTTTTTTTTTTTTTGCTTCTTCATTTTTGTGAATTACCCTTTATGAAATACCGGTATAGCAAGATGGAGGCATTATAAAATCACCAATGCAACCGACGTTAAGCAGTTAAGCATTATAAATAATTCATTATGTTTGGAATCGTAATATTAATAATTTTTCTTTCAAAGGATTTGCTACTATATATATATTAGAATTCTATGTAAGCAAGTCAGCCACAAAGTAAATGTCTTGACTTTATAAAAACGCGCCAAGTACCTCAAAGAGATAAATAAATGATAGCTTAGTCTCCCTGTACTGAAGAAAGTAAATAATAATAAAAAATCTGTATAACGATCTCGATGATAATGTTCATTTAATACAATTAAACATCGCCACATCTTTTAATTTATTTATCCTTTCTTACTAGTTCTTTCCTTAATATCAAAAGTTATTTACATGTTAGACTATGAAGTCAAATTTTAAGCGGTGAGGTTGTTTAAATTATGTTGACAATAAATGTATTCAAATCCACTTTCTTTGATTTGCAACTGTTTATGTATTTATTAAAAATTTCGATATGTTTAAAAAGACACTTTGGAAACGAATGCATAGTATCAAACATCTACAAATTCAATAAATCGTTACTGCAAGTAAAAAGTTAAAATGTAGCTAGAATTTTTTAATGCACATTTTGTTCACAACAAGAATATTTCAACCGGGAACTTAGAGAAAAAAAATAAAAAGATAAATAGTACATTCACTTAGAAGCTATACCTCGTCAAGCAATCGAACCAACAATATTTGAACTATTTTTCCAATGCTCTCCAGTTTGAGCCTACCCAGTAGAATGATATTTAGGGTCAAATATGAAACGACTAAAATCAGCATAAAGTACAAAATATGTAACTGTACATTTTATCAATCAAAGTTCAATTTAAACCCCTGCATGGTCAACTAGTATTAAAAATATTTTGGGGCCAGGACATACAGCTCATAACAGATTATAATTTCCTGAGTAACATTTTTGCAACTGCATAATAATTTTTTGTATATGTTAAAAGCGAAAACTGTCCACAACGAAATTGATAAAGGTGTATCCAGGTTATATATTTTAAGACAATTTATTAGTTTAATTCTTAATATTTTTAATGCTTTTATACGTTAATTTGATATTTAAGTGTTTTGTGCAGAATTAATGAATATATGTGACTTGTTCCAAATCCAATCAATTTTATTGTTCCTTGCTTGTCTATTGACAATCAAAGAAAATAAATTGTGCAGTGTACTTAACAACGAACCTATAAAAGTTGATGTTTTTTATCTTTTTGAAGCAATGTTTCGTGCTTATTTATCTATTTGATATGCATACATAGTTATAAAGATTTACTGAACCAAAACATCCTGTGTTAGTATGAAAAACACAAAAGTAACACAACTTATGGAAGCAACTTTTTAAGAACGTAACAATATTTCGAAAACGAAAAACTGATCAAATCTTCCTAATCTGTTTGTTCATGCGAATAACTGCAAACTGCTGAATATTTACGACGTTGGTCATGTGACTGTTTTGAACAGCCCCTGGTTACGTAACGTATAAATAAGGGTTAATTCTATCAGGTGTCATATTGAATCCATAGGCGGACAAGGCATCATGGTTAGTAACTTATTATATACTTCAAGGCGTTTTCTCTCTTTTAATGTTGATACTATAGGAATTTGTTTTTAAGCTAGTTTCTATATGTTTAACTTTTATTATATGACATGTTTCGTATTGAATTTTTCCATTTTTGATATATTAACTGAAATTAGCGCGTCATTCTTTTCTCGCAATGCATATTCATCAGTTGATTTTACTTGCTGGACAAGCATACTGCTGTCAAAATAGCATTATGTCCATAAGTAGCGTCAATATAAAAATATTTGTTTTTTGTTGTAATTTTTCTGACATATGCATTTCTTTATATATTTCAAATTATTTTTCTAAAATGAAATAATATTGTGACCAGATCTAGTTAACCTTTGCGAAAAACAATTCTTAAAATAACCATGAAAGTTGTTTCACTTAAAACAAGTCGAGGATAATGGCAGGAATTGAAATATATTTTTTAAGAGATATTTATAAATTTGATTAACAAATAACTTGCGATTATTCGCTTGAAGCCTCTTTTTTCAAGAATAATATTTTTATTGTGCAAAATGAACTTACATTTGCATAAACTCATACATACACCCAAACAGTTGATAGATATGTGTGAGAAGAGATTATCAAAATTCATGATTTACTCCTGATACACAACTTTAAACTTTGAGCGCTTTTGTTCAACAATTTATTTTTAATATTTAAACTCATTTGATCAGTTTATCAAATTGATTGACTTACTCTTGATACACATATCTTAAACCTTGAGCGTGTTAATTCTACAATTTATTTTTTAATATTTAAAGTCATTTGATCACACGTTCTTAATTTAATTTTACTTTTCTTTAAAATTTATCTATACTGCGAAAGTTCTATTGATGAAAATAATGTACATATGTCTAAATGCTGCAATACTACCGATCGTTGCTTTTTACAACTTATAAACATTAAGCATTACTCATCTGTTGATAAAGTAAAACACTCTTGTTATTTTACTATTCTGCAAAAATGGTATCTGTTTGAGTTTTCGTCATTCTCTACCTCTGGATTTCATCGGTGATACGCTTTTCTTGACAATTGATCTTTTTTTTATTATCACACTATAGATAATCTGACTCATTAAAACAGGACAACAGATGTATATGTACTTCTGATATCAAAAGAATAAACTGTCCCGAAACCTGATATCATGTAAACACACGTGGATATTTCCGGTTATTGACATTGCACAAAACAAGTAACTAAATAGCTTAAAGATATATAGAGGATATTTGTTTGTTTGTGTGTAAGATGAAATTTTATTTCATCGAGTGGGCTTTAAAAACAGTATTCTCACGAGATTTGCTTTTTCTTTAAACAGTCTGACATTGTCAGAATTGTCAGCCAAAATAAAATTGAGGTACCACATGGGGAAAATCTTAAAAAAGTAGTTTCGTCATTGAAAAGTGTTATTATATTTTGATAATTTTCACTGTGAAATCAAATGTAATTTTCACGAATAAATCAGTAATCCTCTGAAAAGCATAAAATAAACTATGCTCATCCTTGAGTAAAATATTTAATCACAGAAATTTATTGAAATCTATGAAATTCTTACTGATTATGTCTGATTTGAAAAATAAATAAACTATGTGTGGAAATTTTGTCCCCCTTTACAAGTCAAGTTGTTCTTTTTTTTTTTAAAAAAAACTACCAATATATATATTCATCTCAGGACCTCCTACAGTTTGTAAAATTAAAAGAATCATATCTACTTTGTGTGAAGTCAAGACATGTTTATTGTATATTTAAAAAGAGACTGTGTAACAATTACCAATATTTTCTAATATACTTAGACGACAACATAAAATAGGGATTGCTATCCATGTTAGTCTATATCTTGTTTTGAATGAATGCTATCAAATATGGTTAGACTGTTTTGATTTGTTTTTCCAATATTGAATGATATATTTCTGTTGTTTAAAACAATATTTATACGGCCATTGTAGACTCGATTTATTTCGTTCAAACTTGAAGGTCATAGCAGTAACAGATGACAATAATAAAAGCAACTGTTTAATAATTTTTTTATCTCCACATTTGATAAAATAATACTGTCAATATTTGTTTTTTTTTATTTCATTGATATGCATTGATTGTATATCGAGTAAATTTGTCTTAAACGAAATAGCTTGAATTCAAATAACCATATGTTATCAACCTTTTCGTGTGTGTGTGTATATATATAAAGTCGGTTGACAAACAGTTTAAAATGTTACAGAAAAAATACTTGGTTGTTCATTAGGGAAACGTTTTAAATGTCCCAAATTGAAAAGCATGCTCATTTTTATTAACATTGTACCTGTGAAACAGAAAGAGATTTTTCTTTAAAAAAAATACGATGTAAGACTTTTTTAATATTTCCATTTTTACAATATATTCAAGTTTATGTTAATTCATCTATTAAAAGAATGATAATTTTATAAAGACTGTTGTTCAAATGTTTAATTGTAAATGATACAACATTGTTTTCATATTGTTGTGGTAACAGAGAACAAAGGAAAGTTAATAAGCAACTCATTATAACATTTTTAACGTTTATATAGAGATGTGTTTATATTGACATTCTGGAGTGATATATTTTTAATTTTTCTTCAAATTAAAATAATAAAGAATTGAAAGATTGTATAACAGTCTACTCCACTTAAAACGAGATCGGTTTTAACGAGGTTCCGCTTACAACGTACATTTTACTGTGTCCTGGCCTTTTTCCTTCTATTTTCCTTTCATTTTTTATCGTTTATAACGAGATCGGTTTTAGCGAGATATCGGTTACAGCGTACATAATTTCGTCGTCCCATGCGTATTTTTCAGAATTTTAACGAAGTCACTTCGTTTCAGTTATTTACTTATTTATTTATTCACTTGTATGTTTGTTTGTTTGTTTGTTTACAGACGCTAGAAAAAGTATTGTTGATGGGCTTTTTGCTACTGGGTATTTCAATTTTCGCTGGTGAGGCAAAAGGTAACATACATAAAATGAAAGACCATCACTTTTATAAAAACGATCTGTAAATTTATGCTTGAAAGTGAATTTAATTCTAGCGAATTACAAATGTTTGAAATCTCATTAATTTCATTTATTAAGATAAAATGTTAGTATGTAAATAACATTGAATAAACTTATTACACATTCAGTGCTATGTTCTAGGTTTGGACGAAACCTGTACACCTCAAACAGGTGGTGCAGCAGATGAATGTGCGGTCACCAATTCGGAGTGTAAAACTGACAAATGTGTATGCAAAGACGGATTTATAAAAGAAAACTCAGCATGCCCAAAGGGTTAATTCTATTTTTTTTTATGACGAACCAAATTATGAATTTAGGAGTATATCTAATTGAATCTCTCCTTTAAGCATATTCTACAAGCATAATATCTAAATAAAATCATCAATTAAAACTTATCATAGCTATATCTTGTTATGAAACATAACCTGCATGAGAAGAAAGATACCATTTAAAACAGGATAACCCTGTTAAATTTAAGACTCTGTATAATAACAAGGCAATGATCCATGCATGTATGGTCCATTAACGTTAAAAAGGGGAAACAAAACCGCTAAGATGAAACTTTATGTCATTCCATGAACAGCGGCTTATTGTTCTCAAGTAAAAGAGTGATAGTGCCCAAAATAGAAAAGAATGATCCTAGTTAGATATAACAAGTTTTATCATAACAACGAGCCTTAAATATCATCTACGTACGATGAACGTCAATTACTTGAAAATATTTTTTAACTAAAATGTTTACTTCATTTTGTTATACTTACTTTTTAGCATTAGACCAAACGTGTACGGATACAAACGAATGTGTCACTAATTCGAAGTGTGATGGAGAAGATGGATCTAAAACATGCACTTGTAACGACGGCTTCTTCATAAAAGAGGGGTTATGCTCAAAGGGTAAGTTTACGTTTTACAATGAATAAAGAAAAAAAATCATTGTATTAGCCAACCCTTAGACAATATTAAAACAAAACAATATAGTATTGCATTTTTACATGAACAAAAACGTGGAAAATTAAAAATAATTCACACTTTTAATTTGAATATAAAAAAGATATGATAAAAACAAGAATTTAAATTAAATATCATGGCAAAAAATTAAAATTATATTTAAATCAAGGTAACGTGGAACAAATGCAACAATAATCCAATCTACATAATGCTACTTAAGTAGTTTCCGTAAACAAAACTGCCATTTAAATAATATGATATAGAATAGAAATATATATAAATTGTGTGCAAAAACCGTTCATAACTAATGAATTGTCATTGTACATACATAGTTTTGCATTTTTAAACGTCTTAAACAATAATCCAAATTTTATACCATTTGATTGATATCCTAGTAACATAAATCGTAGTATTTACATCGCTGCAATTAAACAAAATAGAATTTAGAAATGAAACTGCAAACTGCATTTTACCTGAACGCCACAACAAATAAATCCAATTTTCTGTAAGCTAAGTAGCTTTTGGTGTGGGTTTCACTCTTAAAAATTGTACACATGTTCGCGTAAATCTTCATAGAAATATTGTATTTGTAATTAAATAATTTTATAATAAAAAAAAATGAAAGAAGGGCATTCAAAAATGACCGAATGAATGGGTATATTTCCTTAAGAGCGAGTGATGTATGTATAAATCATCCTTTTACTGTTAAAACTATACTTAACATAGAGTCATATTCAGTGTACCTTCTATATAAACCAAAGTTTAATAACAGAAACATCGTATGTTAACCCCTTTTTGAGAATCGACTATTATACTATGGAAACAACGTTTATTTACCTTTGTTTTAAATTCATAGACAAGTTTCATTCCATATAGCTTTATAGCCTATTAAATGAATTTATAAATTTGAATAATGAATATTTGTTCTCTAGATAATGATTATAACTCAATGTATTCTTACTCATTTGATCTTTAAATCATGATGTTTCAGATGTTGATGGAATTGATTGCGGAACAGAAACAACAGCATGTGACAATATAGGGAATGCAGTATGTGACACAGAGGCTGGTAAATGTAAATGTAAGCCTGATTACGTGATGAATGTTGCCAAATGTGATCCAAAAAATGCTGGTGGGTAATTTTATGAAAATTTAATATTTATATCAGTTATTTTTTCACAATACTGAAAACTATAGTTGGTTTATAGTATTTTACCGAGCATCTTTGTTTAAAGCTTAATTTACATATTGGTGTATTGTATTCTTTACTGCAAGGGTTTTTTTTTGTTCCGGCTAAAGAAGAAACGGTTGAATAGAAAATCATATGACTTCACTCTTACCTGTACAAAGTATGATGCAATACAATATAATACATGGTAAAGAATATTCAACAAATACACAATGTCTTTTTTTCAAATGGCTGACTGACACGATTAAAAAGTATTGCTATTATGTAAAGGAAAATAAAATGTATTTGGATTTTTATTCACATGTCAGCCTCAACCATTGGATTCGGCGCCATGTCACTAGCGTTGCTACTTTCGACAGCTTCTTTTGTGTTGTTCTAAAGAAATTTAAAAAATCGTAAGTAGTGTATGTGTGTATATATTTTTATTATTAATTTAAGCAAGTAAAGCAGAAAATAATTGCTATTTTCACAACAACTGCAAATTGATATATTCCTAATGTATTGTGTATATATTTAAAAATTCAAAAAAATCATCTTTTCCTCTGATTGTCGTAACTTATGCAATCTCTATCTTTTTAAATGAACAAAGTTAACACATTAATTTATTCGAAATTAAAAAAGACACACTGTCAGACAAAGATTATCTGAGCCGCGCCATGACAAAACCAACATAATGGGTTTGCGACCAGCATGGATCCAGACAAGCCTGCGTATCCGCGCAGTCTGATCAGGATCCATGCTGTTCGCTTACAAACCCTATAACAAGTAGAGAAACTGATAGCGAACAACATGGATCCTGACCGCGCAGGCTGGTCTGGATACATGCTGGTCGCAAACCCATTATGTTGGTTTTGTCATGGCGCGGCTCATTTCTTCTTCATTAAGCATATTGTATATCCAGTTAATAAGTCTTTTTTTTCTAATTCAGGTTATGTTTCCGGAAAATGTGCAGTGAATTATTCTGACCTTCTGTTTGTTTTTATGTATTCGTTTGTAAAAGACATTTTTTCTTTATTATTGCCGTACATGCACTTGATTTACTTCGAACTATAATATGGTTTCAGGATATTTTAATTGGTATTATGAATTCATTAAGTTCATAGTTATACACTTTACATCACAATCCCTATCTATCGATGTTGCTTATTACATTTATATGCAAATACACTATGGATTTCAAGAATTCATATACAAATAATGGAAACAATATCTGCATACAAGTTATTCACAACTGCAAATGATTCCACAATAGACTTTATAGAGTGTTGATGTTTAAAGTTATTTTCTTTTGAATACTTCTTTATATTTGTTATATAATTTATTATGTTGTCTTTATCCTTCTATATTTTGTTGATTTGTTTGCTAGGAGTGAAGTGTTGAATCTTACCACTGTTAATTTTAAGTGAGGATAAACGTTTACTATATGAATATATTTTTGGTTAATCATGCTGCTTTATTTCATACAGAGTTAAGTATGTAAAAACCAAAATGGTTACTAATCGGTACTGAGTATCATCCAGAATCGCGTGATGTGCGTATAGAATGTTTCGATAAAGCTCGCAAAGTTACCTTTCTACATACACATATCAAAATATTAACTTGTATTGTTTAATATAGTTTTGTTAACATAACAAGGTTTGTGTGTAACTTGACATAAAAGACACTTTTTTGAGGAAAAACAAAGTTATTTTTAAAAGAATAAATAAGGTAGGTTGGCCTTTCAGTATCATAAACATATGACCTAATAAGTGTTTACGTCACTGGATGATATTCCTGACGAACGCCATGTGATTATGGCTAAACGTAAGTGCTCATTTAAAATATATATAATACATAAGAATAAAATAGAATTAACATCTAACATCAAGATGTTTTAAACTGATTAACTTGAGTGCGTTCATGCCGTTGAATGAAGACACTATAGCATAAATACACTTTTTCTATTAAATTCTTTGTTAATGATGATATAATTTTAAAAAGAAAATGTACATGCATAATATTTCTATAATAATAAACGGTTGCAACTTGAAAAGTGTTTATCTTTAATGAACTTTGAAGTAACCTAAAGGCGTATTTCCAAATAATGTTGTCATTCAGGTATATAAATATGCTAGTTCATATAACTATGCTAGTTATACCGCATGCATAGGTACAATTTTGCTGACTTTCTCAAATGAATTCTATTCCAATGAACATACTAAAATATAATACCATATTTCGAAACTCTTATTATGGTGGCGGTGTGCTGGTGTTGGTGTTGGTGGTGATGTTGATGATGATGATGCTAATGATGATGATGGCGGTGGTGATGATGGTGATGATAAGTTAAATGTAATAATGATGCCCATTATTACGAAATCACTTTTAGTATAAATGAAGAGTAATGATCAAACATCATAAAATTGGCAGCCGCAAAGAAGAAGATGAACTCTTGTTTGGTGGATCAGAAGATATAGAAAAGAAAATTAAAAAAAGATCACACAATGATCAGTTTTACAAAGTAATCGTGTGTCTGAAAACAGTCAGTTAAATAAATCAAGCTTAAAACGTTTGCAAATCTTACAAATACACATGGTTTCCATATTTACAAATACGTATTTGTTTTATGTGAATGATCAAACTTGACCTATACACTAGAATAAGATCTATATAAATATCTTGTTTGATGAATTTGTTTACCAAGCAGTAATCGTGCAACATCAATATGGTAATAAATCTAGAGGTACTTGTATTTTGTTGCGCTTACAGGAATACACAAGACGGTAAGTACTTTCAATCTCTAGCATGCATTGTTTTAATAAATTTAAAAGAGGTAATATGTATTGGAGGATTTCTTATCAATAATGAATTTCGCATTACAGATATCAAAGTACCCTTGCAATAAAAATTTAATTCAAATATAGTTTGTAAATGTTTTGTTTGTTTGACAATCTAAATGCCTATTTTTAAATTTAGAAAATCATCGAAATCCCTATAAGAACGGACACAAAGGGGAAAGTTGAAAATCAAGTCCACCATAAAAGTTAAGCAGCTGGCAAGTATAATAATAATAATACCAAAAGAGATAAGATTAAGATTGCAATTTATTATTTAATTTAAATAAACAGTGATAAATTATTGCATTGCTTATAAATTATTGACAATGACCGCGGATATCGCTAAATAATGTAATTGCTTTTTTACGAGAATTTGCATTATTTATAGTAAGTATTTACAAACAATTAAAATGATTTGTAATAGTAATGAATTAAATTGATTGCTTTGTTGATTGTTTTGTTTAAAAAAGACAATCCAGTGGCTTTTGTTTAAACTTTAAAACAAAATCGAAATCCCTACAAAACGTGGCACAAGTGGAAAATTGGAAATTCAAACCCAGCATGAAAGTTAAAGCACTGATAATAATGATAATATTATAATAAGCGCTAATTTAAAACAGACAATCCAATAACTCGTGTTTTTAATTCATTTGCACCATAATTAACTACATTGTTTATACATAAATTAGAAATATGTCCACATGGCACTGATGCTAAACACTTTATTTGCCTTCCCGAGTCTGTGTCATACTAGTAGTTACATCTGTCTTATTGATAACGTGTTTCATTTATACGTAATTTGTATAAAAAGCATTTCATTAATAATTAGGTTGAAAAACATATCACTTCTATATAAGTCTAGTTTATGATTAGATAAGGAATTCATATTAAATGTCGCAGTAAGACTAACTTAATTACCGCAATTACATATGGGTAATGTACTTACCATAGCCTATAATCTTTCCAATTAAAAAAAGTATATTCATTCTAAAGTTATAACATTTAACAGAATTTGTCACTGTGACATAGACCTTCAACTTAATGACATACAATTCAATAGATTATGCGTTATCAATTAATACAGACATTGTCTATAGATCATGGGCAATTCCCATACTAAGTAGCATTAATCAGAAGTCAACTTGTCGTTGACTTCAAATCATTTGCAATTCATCGCTGTGATTAGAATCAAAGAGTTTTGAATTATTTCTTTTGCGACGCTATCAAAGCCGGTAGTCACTATATGACAACTTCTTTGTTGATGCGACGTAGACCTTAACAAATAAAAGAAATATTGTTTGTTTTTTTGTTGTTTTTTTATTTCAAGTAATTGTTTGGACAAAAATTATATTCACTGTGACCTTGACCTTTCAACTAACTATTTTGAAATCCATAGGGTCATTAACTGCAATGTGCAACATTCCTACCAAGTAATTTTAGGGTTTTTTTTTTTTTGTCTCGACACGGCTGTTTTATTAGGTGCCACCATGACTCGACCTAGAGACCTTAAAATCAATATATATATATATATATATATATATATATATATATATATATATATATATATATATATATATATATATATATATATATATATTCAGCAAAATTACTACCAAGATACATGATTTCAGACTTATTCCTTCTGAAGCTTTTGATAGGAAAATAATAACAAAACTAAAGTGTGGACAGACGGACCATCGCATATCTTTCCACATTTTCCTGACCTTTTATCAGAATAGTTTTTCATAAATTAGTATTTAAAAGAAAATTTTAAAAGAAAATCTACAAAATAAAAAGTAAGTATAAATCACAATGTCACTAAATGTCAATAACAGCTGAAATCTGCCATTTTTAAAACTCTTTTAAGACAAATTTAGACTATGGAATAATTAATACCACGTTTGTTACGAAGATTCGTAAAAAAATAATTTACCTCTAACTTATCTCATCGAGGGCATATACTCCGGATAATAAATCGACAAATCTCGATAAAGGAATTTTAATTATGGTGTCCGCGTTGCCTTGTTATAAATTAGAAAACACTCATAGATTGCTATAATAATGAGGGAAATCGCTGCATGTTATCTCTCTGTATCCGATTTTATTTGACCCAGTGTTAATCACAAACAGTTAATACAATAATAATAATTCAAATAACCTTACTAACGGATGAAAGAGCAAACAATACATTGTCAATCTTTATTTGAAAAAAACTGCTGTTCATGTTTACAGTGTCGTTTCATTCTCGATGTAATCACATCAAAATGGATATATTAACGGATTAAAAAATACCAAATATTTATTACAAGATCGGGTAAACCTCGTGCAAATAAGGAGGAAATAACGTCCTAATTAATGATAAAATAAATTATGTCATTGATATTTTGAACGATGATAAGATTCACAATTCTATTAAATAATGAACAGTTGGTCACTGGCTTGTTTTACGGCAAAGACATTATGGAGCTAACTTATTACCATTGCAAACGGTTGCGAAGCTATAGTTTTTATATTGCGCCTGTAATATCAGCTATATATCTTATGAAGTCAGACCCAAATATAATCCTTTCAAATCTTATTTAATGGTCCGCTCGATGAAATGAGAGGATAATGATACACAAAAAGAAACAAAATCAATCTTTTCTAAACTTACCGATATTTATCGTAATCCAAAATCAAGCATACTAGTTATTCATCGTCCGTGGTCGAGTGCTTCAAACCAATTATTATTTCATGAATTTAATTGTTAGACTTAGGTTAAGGAGTCCTATACAATAGTGTTTGGAACTCAGGACTTGAGGCAGGAATATGCAATATGTATATCCAACTTCTGTAATGTATTTCAAAAGTCGGTAGTACTAGAAATTTTCCGATAAGATTAAAATTATTTTTTAAACCAAGAAGGAATTTTTTATACTCTCAATACGAAATAATAGACATGAATTTGCCACTTTAATTCTTGTTTTGTTAAATATATTTTGAAGCCATCCTTTTACATGTTTAATTTAGTACGATAGTTGTCAGACTAAAACATCTGCTCAAACTATAAAAAAATGTAATTTTGTTAAATGGACTGTGTAGTGCTTCATATCGGAATGTATTAGCAGTTCATCTTATTAAGTTACATTTAGGACGATCAGAATTGCGTTGTGCTTCATATCGGAATGTATTATCAGTTTATGTTATTAAGTAACATTTAGGACGATGAGAATTTTGACAAAGGTCGCTTGCTATTTAGAATTCGTTACGTTGATATCAATTGTCAATCAAAACGTCAAACACATGCCCCCTGTGACGACCGTGAACACTGCGTGATCGTAAGAGGTGATTCAACGGGTTTGAATTACTGGAGTCTTAAAAATTATTACCCCCTACGCATTCGATGTTAAGAACGGACTACTTACTACAATTTTTTTGTATCTCCCCTGTAGATATCAAACCTCCCAAGACGTTTATTAGTTTATTAACAAGGTAATGCAATTGCAAACTTTATTTCTTTTATTACTAAGGGAATAAATCAACATTTATTGCAAATCATATATCAATAATTAAAAGATAATAAATTGTTTTTCATGAGTAAAGCAATGAATAAATACATGTTTGTTCATAGCATAACTGTGTTATTATGTACATACTCGTATTAGTGTTTATTTACTAAAATCTTAACAATTAAGAACCCCATATCCTTATTTTTTATTTCACTTTCAAGCTTTTATATCCTTTATATCATATTAAATTTTGAAAAGAGCAATTGCTAGACGCTATGGTGGTAATAAAGTTTGATGTGCCACTGCTTATGAATGACAATACACATCTTTATATTATTTGCAAGGCACTTAAAAACAAATGCGAACTACAAGAACACTCTTCAGATTCAGAAAACTACAATTTGATAAAGGTATCAACATTTTAACTGTAAACTTTTAAACAAGTAGGATAAAGTCTGCTTATTTGTCCGTTTGATTGTCTTTTGAATAGATTTAATACAGTTGATGATTAAAGTTAGCTTATTTTTTATTGTAGGGAGGACACACTTAAGCAATGAAATGTAAATCTTTAATGAACGTCCAACTCGTCAAATATAAAAATGTTGCATGTAAAATAGTAGTAAAGACAAGCTTTCAGTCACATCATATAACACCAACTTAAAGACATTTTCTACAGTTTTATGAAAAATTAATCCTTTCATAGAATTTTCTATTTTTTTTGTATGATGAGTAAAATTTAATAACGAATTTAAAAAGAAAAAGAAAAATATATGTTGACGTGTTTTTTTTTTCTTGTAAAATGGCAGTTTCCATGGTAACCGAATATCTAAAAACTGTCAAAATAGCGCAACTGTGTTATAACGAATAGAAAGTGTATAAGATAGCTTAAAACACACAACGAGCATTGTTTTATACAAATATAACCTTATCTAATGATTCTGTATGAAACAAATGATAATCTGAACATATTTCTTTAAAAAATGAGTTTTCCATGTTCCTTAACCGAACAAAAAATGAGAAAAATAAACATGAATTCTGAGAATAACTAAAGATATTGAAAAAAGTATTTCATAGGATTTTCTATTTTTTTTGTATGTTGTGTAAAATTTAATGACAAATTCAAAACGAAAAAGAAAAATATATGTTGGCGTGTTGGATTTTTTGGAAAATGGCAGTTTCCATGGTAACTGTTTATCTCAAAATTATCAAAATAGCCAAACTATGTTATAATAATGTATAAAACAGCTTATTACACACACATACACATAATTTTATACAAAGCTTGCTTTATCTTAGGGTTCTGTATAAAACAAACGATAATTGAACATATTTCTTTAAAAACTGAATATTTCATGCTTTTTAACTAAACAAAAAAGAGAAAAATAAACATGACAATTCTGTAAAAAATTAAAGCTATCAAGAAATTTCTTTCATAATATTTTCTACATTATTGATATATCAAGTAACTTTTGATGGTGGATTCGAAAATAGAAATAAAATATGTATGTGGACGTGTTAGTTTTTTGTAAACGGGCAGTTTCCATGGTTACCGCATATGCCAACTGTCAAAACTACCACGCTTTCTTAAGAAATATCAGTGTTATACTAAATGTATTGTCAAATATACAACAAAAACATGTTGTAATAAAAATTTCTTTTTCTTTTGATGTTATATTAAGTAAATGATACTGAATATCTTTTTAAAGCATATCTAGGGCCATATTATTTTTTTCACTCGACTAACATACCCGAACAGTAAGCAAGTATTCAGAAATTTACAAAGAAAAGAATGAAATTCTGAACATTTCTTACATGTTAATTTTGTTTTTTATTCAACACTTTTAAAATATATCATTTTAAACTTCTTTGCCCAGTTGTCTGCCAGTAATTAATCAAGTCGCGACGCACTTTCGTCACTATACCACAAGTGGGTGGGGTAACGCGCGCAGAATTATCATCAATGCTGTCGGACTAATGCTTGGAGAAATCCTTTATATGATGTTGTCTAAACGACCTTTTATTCTTTTGAACCTATATCTCCTCTTGAACATTTAGAAATATCAATTCTGTATTATTTACTCATTATTTGCTTATAGCAGAAATTTAAAACACTTATCCGAATACTATTCAACTTGACCTTCATTTGAAGAGTAATTGTCCGTGATTATCTTTCTTGGAAGCGCATAACGATGCGCACAGAAAACTACCGAAAACGTCTTTAAGTAGACTAAAACATTTAAGTATGAAAATGGTGAAATTCAGAATTTAATAGTTTCCGCAGATATCAGCCATTTCAAATGAAGGGATGTAGATTTTGGGAATTTTGCTTTTATCACTTTAAATATAATGCTTTTTAAGTCCTGAATATTTTGCAAGTAATATTTATGCATTTCGGAAAGTGCATCTTAGTTTCACTATAACATATAATCTGTTTATTAGGTATATTGTTATATTATACGATATAACAACTTCGAATCTGTACATATGCATGTACCGTTTTTATGTTTTATTTGTGTGTCTAATCGTGGGGCATGCGTACATTGAATTTCGCTTCTAACTGTTCATCTTTGATTTTAAATTCTAACTGAAAAGTAGATGGTCGCTTTTCTCAATTTTGTTTCATTATACATATCTGAGTAGTTTTGTCCTGGAATACATATTTACGCCTACATATTTACCAATAAAAGTTATAACTAACAAAATTGTTTTAATTTTTGTATTCGTATCTTTAGTATTGTTGTAAAATCTAAAAGGCATTTATCAACTTGATTGGTAAATACACATGTAATAAACAAACCAATAAGATGTTTATATTTTAGAATAATTCACATGTGCTCATTTGAGAATAAAACAATCAAAGACGATATGAATTTTACATCATTTGATGCATACTATATCTTGTTCATATATATGTTGTGCGCGAAATTCATATCGTTCGCTCACTCCGTTTTATCCAACATAATTATTTCCATTGTGCAAAATACCTAGAAAATAAAGGCCTTCATAAAACTGTAACCCAAATATGACTAAATGTTGCTCAGGATATTGAGAATCAATTTGATTTGCATTTTTATTATTTTTTTATATTTTCTTTTAAAGTGTCCTGTGAAAGATTTTCAAATTGTATGTTTTATAGACTTTTAGACGTCAGTGGAACTCTTTTGAAGAGTGTTCAAACTTCAAAAAAGTTTCAACCATCGCATTTATGTTTGTTTAAATAGACACCCAAAGATAAATAGAGGTAGTTGCAAAACAAAACTTCAACAACATTCTCCAATGCTTATTTACAACAAGGGTCATGTGACTATTTTGCACAGCCCCCAGATGACATCACGCATAAATACGGGTAACCACACTCGGATATTATATTGAACCAGCAGAGTACGGGATATAATCATGGTAGGTCATATTTTGTATTCTATACATACAACTCAACTTTATTATGTCAATATTAGAATTATTATGATAAGTTTTGAAAATAAAGTACTCACATCTTCTGTATCTGTATCTTTTGATATATCTTGTCTTATGTTGATGCCTACAGTGGCAGGCTTTAAGATGTTGTTTCTGAAATAATCAAACAAAGAGCAAATAAAACACTCGACAGCGTATTTTTGACAATGTATGCAATTTAAAACATATGTAACAAACGAAATAATAAAACAACTTTATTGGTAACAATAAATATATAAACAATGCACATGCTTATACTATTTGTGTACAGTCAAAACGTTAAAATTGATTTTACTAATTTAGCAGATATTTGAAAAACGTATAAACACGTATAACGTTTTCATCTGACAAACTTATCTGAGTATGTTGTCATGAGTAATTTGATATCAGGAAATGTTAGGGAATTAGTTTAAATGTATGAATTTACTTAACTTACATTTTACATATAAATTCATAGGTATTTATTGTAAATTGAAATTTATTGCCATCGTGCTAATTTTTTTCAAAGCGCCTTCTGACGTTTCTGACACAATATGTGTGATGTTAACGTTTCCTTAATTTGTACATGACTAAATGCGTGGAGAATAATCGCCAATATTAAAAGATGACCAGCGCTTTCAAAATGAAGAAATATTGTGCTTTGTTATACTTTAAAAATATAATGATATCAACAATACAACATTTATGTTAAAATGCACTGTTTATTTAGATAACATGGAAATAATATTCTTTCATAAAACTCAATTTGGATATTTATGTCGTGATAGTTGTATTCACTATAACGGTATTAACACTGTTATCATATTGTATAAGTAAATACTTAGCCATCCTCGGTAGCCCATGCGTACCCGTTACAGATACACTATACGTATTTGCGAGATGAATGTTGTTCAGTAAAATCAGTACACGTGTCATGCTAAAACTATATGAATATCCAAAATAAACCGAAAATATTCGACTGAAGATACATTTATGTACACAAATTACGTGAACCTTAGATTATTATTTTAGTTTTTATCCGTACTAGTTTAGCGCGGAGGAAGGTAGTCTAGTACTGGTGTAACTCTCCAGGAACGATGGTTAGGAAACTACCCGCCTATATGACTGAAATACAGTTGGAATGGGCGTAAAATGAAACAAACAAACAAACAAACAATTTATCCGTACTAACTATGTTGCCTTAGTGTCCTTCCTCTTTGCTATGCCAGGGCTTTATGTATCCTATTTTTTGGAAAATTTTACTTAAATAAATCAAGGCCTTGTGACTGCAAACATACCAATATGAATTTGTTACTCAAGCAATGCATATAGAAATTGGGAAGCAATTATGTGATGTATTTCATTTCTAGTTCTGTTATGTGAAAAGTTTGTTAAATATTACACATTTTAAGATCCTGTAACACATTTTTTATAGTTTTATTTCATACATATGATGCTCAAAGTAAGATTTGTCAATATTGTAAGTTCCAATAAGCATTATTTGTAAAAATATTACCGAATTTACCATTTCATGTAAATAACGGGTGGCAATTAGAAATTTTATTTCTATAAATTCAAAGTCAAATTTTACAATAAGAAATGAATGCATATGATTTATTGATTTAAAAGTGAAAAGTGAAAAACAAAAATTAAAAGAGTGCAAATATTCATATATATTTATATATACTTTCATATAATGTTTTAACATAACAGAGTTTAACCTGCGATACACTTCATGTATGTTCGACATCCTCTACGCTTTTATCTAACGATTTCAATAGAAGATCTATTTTATATATAAGCTTTGTACAACATGGACCAATACAGGAAAGTTTGGAAACAAGCATTACAACTATTAATCTAACATGCATTGGTAATATCTTTATTGTGTTGCTTATTCACTGATATTTGGAGATGGGGGCCTACATTTGAGTGATTTTATATTACATTATCTTACAGTCAATATAGTATCATTTATTTTTTTCTTCTTGTTATTCTTCTTCTTCATAAACACGTACAATAAACAAATTGGTCTTGAAGTAAGGTCTATAACAACAATCAATGTCATCATCTTCGGTAGCACAGGCTATTTACGGTATTTAATGTCGTATATTTGGAATATGTACCGTGGGTTACGACAATGAATTTTGTATTTTGTGTGCAAGTGTTCATGTTTCGCATTAGAAATTTATGGTATCCAATGATAACGATATGTTTTGTCTGCTTTAAACTTTATTTTAGTTTTCCTAAATTTATTTCGGAAATATTATTTCGTCACAATTACACTTGGAATGGTGTTTGTACACTATTCAAAAGCGGGTACGTTACATTCTGATTTTATAATACACGAATAAACTATGATAATAAATGCTCTTATATATTCAACAAATAAAGTAGACATCATCAGTTTATTTTAGAGACAGCATGATAAAAAAGATAATAATAATAATAATTATAATAATAAAAATAATAATAATAATAATTATTATTATTATTATTATTATTATTATTATTATAAATAATATTTATAATAATAATAATAATAATAATAATAATTATTATTATTATTATTATTATTATAAATAATAATTATACTAATAATAATAATAATAATTATTATTATTATTATTATTATTATTATTATTATTATTATAAAATATATAAAGATAGATGTATGACACTTGGATATATTAATATGTCTATAATAATAAACAATATCAACGAAAACCAACAATATGATCGATATTTGCACTTTTCTTAAAGTATGTAAAGGCAGAAACTGTTTTATTTTGTATGATTGTATATGTATTATATTGTTAAATGCATGGCAGTTAAAGATAAGGGAATTTTAATTTTATTCAAGCTTTGCCTACCGGATGTGATGCTGATGGTGTGGATTGTCCGGAACATTCTACGTGTGGTACTGACAAAAACTGTGCTTGTAACGACGGCTTTAAGCTAAATTCAAACCAAGATGGATGTGAGGCAAAAGGTCGTGTTTTTTATAATGAATTTTCTCGGTGTAACTGAATAAGGACAAGTTCCAAAAGAAAACTATTTGATGTTTTTTTATTACTATTATTTATTTCTATTTATCTCAAAATGATAAAGGGTTTCATGACGGTATATAAATAATATTGCAAAAGAAATAAAAGTAAAACTGGCAATGTGATAACCTTCCTATTATTTAATTTTACAAAAACCAAGCACTTTCTATAATGTAGAAATTGAGCATGGCATTTTTTGCGATAGTCTAGTGACTGTTCAAAGGTTTGAAATATCCGCTATCACCACAACAGTCATTATATATCTTATCATACCTAAAATTAACAGTATTATGTGCCCCAGGCCCAGGGTGGTATAAGAATTGTCTCTACGGTGGTGATATTCATAATAATTACATGTATATTATATTGATTAATAGTTTTGCATTGGAACTTGAAGATGTGTTAAGATTAAATAACTTAAAATATCACATGGATGCACATGTAACAAAATGTTAGATATAAACTTATGAACACTTCATGATAGATTTTGATTGTAACAAATTGAATACAAATATGTAAAGGATGTAAAAAATTCCATTATTCACAGTTATAAATGATATCTGCGATGACGACAAAGGTTGCACGGGGTTGTCAAATACAGCATGCACAGGTGGTAAATGTGTATGTAGTGACGGCTATGCAGAAAAAAATTCTGTGTGTACTAAAAGTAAATATATAATCAATTATTTTATATCAAAATTGAATTTTAACACTTGTAATTTCTAAATATATTTATAAAAAAGACTTTTCATATTTTAATGACACTTCTTAATAATAGTGAATTAATGGAAATGTATTTTCCACCATAACACTTTTTCTTTTTCAAGCCGTTAGCGGAACAACATGTACCGCAGCTGGAACAGAATGTAAAGGCATTGATAACTCACATTGTGACACTGACAAATGTAAATGTAATGATGGCTATGTGATGAATGTTGAAGTGTGTACCGCAGAAAATGCAGGTTAGTTTCTATGTAATTATTGTTAAACTGTGTACCGCAGAAAGTGCAGGTAAGTACTCTGTATTGAATATTGAAGTGTGTACCGCAAAAAATGCAGGTAAGTGCTTTGTAAAGAATGTTAAGTGTATACTGCAGGTCACACAAATTTGTTAAGTTAAATTCTAGTCATGATATTCGTCATTTTCACGAGCAAATGAAAAAGAACGAAATAATTGTACACAAATATCCTTTATATATTTTGTTACCTCTAACTGTTTCCTATTCACTTACTTTGTGTTTCACGATAATGTTGTTTAGTGTGATGTGAATTTAGAGATGCATCTTGCTCATCTTTTAAATTCTTGCAGAAATTAAATGAAACGTAGAAAAATCGATTTAAAAAAACTATATTTACTATACTTGATCAAGTATATTTTTGCCTTCTTTTTAAAGAATGCCAGTTGCTCATTTGTGGGCAGTTATCTTTAAATGACACTTTGGATTCATATTATATTTACCTATAATGTGTAGAGTTTAAATTTTTAATTATTATTAATTATTGTTTCAGCTACACATGTTCAGTTAGGAGTTCTGACATTATATCTCAGTTTTGTTTTGGCCATGGCGCAGAAACTTTTCTGGTAAATGCATGTTTTGTTATAATTATTTGATTTTTTTATCAATTTCTTCAAAATGAAATTGTTATCGATATATCTAACTATTTGTAACATACTATCATACTATTCTTTTGTTTAATATTAAAGGTATAAAGTCGAATACTGTACAAGAAGTATTAAATGTATTTACCTATGATTAAGATATACAGGAGATTTATCTAAAGATTGAATTACAGTAAATACCCACATTCACAAAGGTGCATGTTTTTATTTTTTTTTTTCAGATTGAGAATCGGGAATGGAGCTTCATCTTTATGCGATTGACACCTTTTCTCTATAATATATTCCTCTCTATAAAAGTGTGATATGGCCATATGTGGCCAAGAAACTACTAAACTGTTTTGTTTCGTTTTCTTTTTTCAAAAAAGTGTTGAAATATTCAAAATAAAGTAACGACTGTTTAATTCTTGTTTTACATTATATGGTTTTTAATTCTTGTTTGAAATTATATGGTAATATATATGAACAAGTTTTGCTTTTTAATTAGCAAAACATAATTTTTCGTATATTGTAAATTATGTTTAACGTTATCTTAGCGAAATGGGCTATTAATCGGTAAAAAAGTATTAAACATTGATTACTCAACTGTATAATTTAAATTTGTTGGCTTGAAGATAAACGTAACATGTACACAAGTAAACACAATTTACCTACAGTTTCAACAGCGGTTTTTGCATTGTAGTAGAATGGACATAAAATTGTGTAACTAAAAGTTAAATGCATTTAGATTTACTTTAGTTTAGTATTATCACGAAGTTCCTTTGAAAAGAAAACAAGAAAATGTTAACAAAATATAATTACCGACGAACGCCAAATGACTATATACTACCATATGTTTCATTCGAGAATTTAATTATCTGAAAATGCAGGATAACCAATTAATATACATGTAAACACATTTACAACTCGAAATGAAGCATTTTTGAATTATATTGACAATATTCCAATAATATAAAGACATCTGATAAATATAGAAAATTGAATTCTATATTTATAAAAATGTATAAGAAAGACTTGTGAACTAAATAAACAGTTGTTATTTAAAGCGTTGTGATTTTATTTCTTCCAGTGCGTATTTATTTTGTCAATAATTTATATATCCTCTCCTTTTTATAAGTCAATTAAAACTTTTGACCAAACACCTGTACTAGGTGAATATTTAACTAGAGAAAATAAGAATCCCTAAAGAAAGCCCAACACGTCAAAATTGAAAATGTTGCAGGCTCGGTTTGATTGAGCCTGTTCATGGACGGTATTGTAAAGTGCAAATTACCGTCCACGCCCTTAGCACCGTCTTAAGCAGAATTCAACATTTGAACAGATGTGTTCATACGGCAGTTATCATGGAACCTTCAATGTGACACTAGTGTCATTCCATGAAAAGTGGCGTATGGCCCTCAAGAAAATAAAATAGATGCTCGGTTGACTAAAATGATCTATTTCTGAGTAAAAACGACAAAAAATATTTTGTTCCGTTTAACATAAACAAGAGGGCCATGGTGGCCCTAGATCGCTCACCTGACCCATCAAACTCATCCAAACAATTACCTAGACAAGCATTCTGACCAAGTCTCATGACAGGTGAGTCAAAAATGTGACCACTACAGTGTTAACAAGGATTATCCATATTTGAGCAGTGTGACCTAGTTTTTTTACCCAGGTGACCAATGTTCAAACTTGACCTATAAATCATCAAAACAAACTTTCAGACCAATTTCCAGGATACTTGGATCAAAACAGTAGCAGCTAGAGTGTTAACAAGATTTTTCTATTTTTAGCTCCGGTGACCTAGTTTCACATGCGATTTCGAACTCATCCGAGCAATTACATAGACAAGCATCCTGACCAAGTTTGATGATAATTGAGAAGAAAATGTTACCACTAGAATATTAACAAGGTTTTTCCATATTTGGACGGTGTGACCTAGTTTTTCATCCAAGATGACCTATGTTCGAACTTAACTTAGAAATCATCAAAAACAAATTTTCAGACCAATTTACAGGATATTTGGATCACAACAGTAGCCACTAGAGTGTTAACAAGATTTTTCTATTTTTAGCTCCTGTGACCTAGCAAAAATGTGACCGCTGGAGTGTTAACAAGGTTTTTCTATTTTAAGCTCCGGTGACCAAAGTTTTCATCCGAAATGACCCATGTTCGAACTCCTCCGAGCTATAACCTAGACAAGCATGCATCCTGACCAAGTTTGATGATGATTGATGCAAAAATGTGACTACTAGATTTCAGGTTATGAATATGTTTTTTTCGAGTTCGAATCTCTAATTGTGCACATTTTTTAAGTATGGTTTTTACTTTCAGAATATTTTTTAAATTGTGTCACGTAACTTTTCTTTATCTCTTTCATGATGTTTTCACAATCTAAAGTTAAACTTTTGACGGCCAAGCAAAATCGAATGTATTTGATTTTTATAACTGTCATTGAACAAATTAAACAGTATTTTCAATTTTATTCTGTTTTAAGCTCTAAATTCCAGTCGCCACATTTTTAACAATTCTGGCTCATTTGTATTTACTGTATAGATGTTCCTCCACTCAAAATCACGACTGTGTTGTCTTTAGCGAATGTGTGTGTAACTAAATGTTTTCGAATGAAATTTTCGGGGATCTAAAATACAGTTCGTTGTAAAAAAAAACAACTATAAACAAACATAAAAATAAAGAAAGAATTGCCTTTTATACAGGACTCGAACCTGGGTCTCTACACTCATAGAGCGAACACTCTACCACTTCGCCATTATACTTTACGCAATAAAAAAGAGTGATTGATTAGGTGGTAAAATATTTAAGAGATAAATAGTACACTTTTATATAAGAATTATCGACACCCCTATTTGTCAATATTGTTGTAAACAGATAATGAAAGGAATAGCGAATTCGAGCTGTAACTTATTTTGTAAATAAAATATATTTACGTGATGAAGAAGTTCTATTAGAATGGCTACTACCTAGCATTTTTCTTTCATTATATTACTACTTATTTTCTTGAAAACAATAAAAAACATATAACCAATTGGGCGTGAGGGATGTTGCATTTATTCATTATCCCTTACGTATAAAACCGAATCTGCATGTTTCAGCTGTAACATTGCATATATTTCACTCCAGTGTTGTCATATATTTTTTGGTCTTTCGGGATCATTGATACCAACACTATTAAGTGTGCTAGAGGGCGTGAAGGGTGTTGCATTTATTCATTATCCCTTATGCACAGACTCAATCAAACCGAGTATGCAATTTTCATGTAATTTTGTTGTGAATATTGCTTCCGAGAGATCACTTTGTTTTCAGAGTGTTATGATAGCGTAATTTAAGCTGTCACATTCATTGCTTTCAGCGCTTTGACCTATTTTGAAGTGTTAAGATCAGTTTCTCTTATCATTAAATAAAATTCAATGACAAGTTTCTGATGGAATTTAAACGTTTTATTATGTAAAATAGTCCGCTTATTCGCTTTAAATGTCTGTAATCGAGAGATTGGTACGTATGCTTGCGATACCATAGCGGGCTCTTTTCGGAATTCAGTCTCGTTTTAAGAAAACCCTACAAAGATATCAACAATATGATATACCAAAGAATTCCAGGGATTCTTAAAATAACAGCAAAGTTAAAACGTTATCTCACCAATCTTACTTAAATTTGAGGAATATTCTATTGACGACGATATAAAACAAGTCACGTAGCTTTGGTAGCAAAGTAGAGGTGGTTATATTTTACAATACATTTTTTTGCCATTGAAGTAATATAATACGAGGGTTGTTCAAAAAAGTAATAGGACTGCAGCTCTACTGTTCACGATTTTCAAATTTACGTACACAACTTTTAACATGAGACAAATATCGGAACATGTTCTCTATATAAAGTGAAAAAAATCAAAACAAAATGTAAACAAATGAATTTTCTGTGAAATTTTTCAAATGACAAGGGGTACGAAACGCGGCGCACGCTAACCAATACAAATAATTGACGTTCATTGACGTCGTTAAATTTAAATCGAAATTGTAATAAGCGTCATTCTTCTGAAAGTAGTCTCCCTAGTCTCTAGGTTGTATGAGTCATGTAACTTTTTACTTTGCCTCATATGTGGAGATGAAGCAAGAAAAAAAGCGATCACATTCTCGTTCCACTGTTTCAAAAAAAAAAAATAAATAAATGCCAGATAGCCCCGCCCTTTCTCCGGGGTTTCTCGTTGTTTTTAAGTAACCGTGGAACTCAATAGGACTGAAAATGTTAAAGCCAAAGCAATTTAATTTTATTAATTTACTCATTGTCTTGTACGTTTAAAACAATATGATTATATACAGAACAATAAAGATATTTCTCAATAGAAAAGTATCATTTTTCAAAACTTAGCAAAGTCCTATCGTTTATTAAAAACAAGTACTAATTTTTTACCGTTAACCCTTTACATTAATTTATTATTATTAACGTATATCTAGTTAAAATACAATAAATGTGATTTATAACAAATGTTCTTTTTAATCCTTTGGTTTAAAACTGAATGGAGTATATAGGGTCTTTCTAAAAACATTTTTTATTTATCCAAAAGCGGGCGCTATTTGGTGCAGGGAGCACTTGGGTCTCACGACCAAAACCCCAAGGGGGATCACGAGTTCGATTCCCCGCACTTCAACTAAAAACAAAATTTTTCACCGAGGACTGACTAAACCAATCATAGAAATTATTAGCTAAAAGAATAGAAACGTAAACCAATAACAGAAGTAAAACGACCAGAACTGAATTCAAAAGACTTAAAGGAAAGAGGAAAAACAGTTGTCATGATGGAACGCAGCAAAAGACATAAGAAAAAGACCACGGGGGGCAGATAACAAAAATACTTAATGGAGAAACAATGCAACAAGGGCAATCAAATGGCATAAACGACACAAACGAAAAAAACCCAAATAAAAGAGACTTTAAAAAAAAGGCATCAACGTACAACAAAGGAACACTGAAAATTGAGGCAGGAAAAGAAAATCGAATTGCAAGAAAGAATAAGTGGCATACGCCAAAAACGGAATATGTTAACAATTTACAGACAGCAAAGTACTTACAGAAAACACAACAATCCTTTAGCGGAGTAAATTGGTGAACGGAAAACCCAAAAACAAGTACATGAAATTGGGAAAGACACTTTACGGAACAGACAAGGAGAAACCCTAGAACATCAAATAAGGGGGAACAGACAATTAAAACCCTAAAAGGACAGGCCAAAACAATTTGAAAAGGACAATAAGAGACACATTAATCAATAGACAACGGGACAAATAATCGGGAAAAAGGAACCCGAAAAAACGGTTGCGAATTCGCATCAACTAATAATGTTCAAATTTTCAAAGTAAAATGAGTATACTTACAAACGTTCTTGGGTGTTTGCTTGTATAAACTTCATGTCCCAGACTGACACAAACAAAAAACGCCACTTTTAGTAAGTACTTTTAAGGGGAGACTTATGTGTTCCTTACCCGATTAACACGGGAAATTTTAGCAACCCAAATTGACCATCAAATAACATGTTCAAGTTTTCAGTATGAGTATACTCATCTCTTATAAATGTAGAATAGTCGAGAAACGGTTGAATAATACGATATGAGGGGTGCGAATATATTCAAGATAAGAACATAAATAAAACATGTTGTTGCAATTTGCCCGAGTTGGAGTGAAAAAGCATTACAACGCTTTTTTTATTTAAGGGTCATTTTGAATATAATAAATTATCATAACTGGAAAACTTCTACCTAAAAAGTTTGCACACAAATATTATTGCTGGCCTAACATCCAATGGTACACAATTTTCGTTGAAAATATTTCCAGTCCAGTCATTTCAAAACAAACTCAGTGGTGTTCCTTAAATGTATCGTATTATTGCATTCTTTAAGTTTAAAATGAAATAATTTGCTTTGTCATGCGGTTGAATGCAGAAATTTTATTGCTTAATTATAGGCTTTAACACCTGATAATGAATACTAAATCTGCCAAGATACTTCTGTAGACTTGTATTAATTTGTTCTAGTCTTAACAAGATTT